AATTTCGATTGCTGCCCAAACAGCACAGATCTACATGACGCTAGAATGGGGTGAATTCATTTTATTCCATTATGCATTGCTTCTGAGATCAGCACTATATGCGCACATGCCCAGTCTGATTCGTCTGAATGTTGTCTGAGAAGATCTACATGAATATAGATGCAGCAAGAAGATTTCTGGGAGTTGTGTGAGTGTCTGGAGAAGTTATGAGACAGTATTTGCGAGAAGCTTTTTAGGATCTAGCTTTAAGCTAGTTAACCATCATTTGGTCTGAAACCAATTTAAATATAGCATTATGATTACTGGAATAATTCTGCACCATATTACACTGCAACATGCCAGACATAAGTGAAGGTACATGTGTCATGCTGCTATCATCACAACGTCGTCACATGCACTCTTCACCAAAAAGATCTTCTACCAGTGATGGGACAACATTATGACTGATTATTTATAGATCAATGGCTGATTGATTGGATTACAATTATTAATTAACCGACAAGATAAATGGAAATGAAATAAAATGAAAGATCATTTATTAGTGCAAAGACCAGCTGAGTATTTTTTTCCTCATTACCAGCTACGTTGTGTTTATCATTGTTGAATATTGAAAGCATGCAATATATTTTGAATTCAATTGCCTCATTAGCTTCTTATAAGTGAGCTTCTTATAAAGTCATGAAATAATAGGATATGGTCTGTAATAGGCATGGACCTTCAGACATTATTCAGTGTGATTCACACGTCCCAAGATTATCATTGTCTCGGATGTCCAGAACTTCAGAATACCTGAAGCTGAAATTACAGCCAATTTATGGATCATTTATCATTTGTCTTATTTGTCGGTTCTCAGAAGACACACCCAAGCTGCTTGGGAAGGAGCAGCAGACTGGATGAGACGAGGACGTCACATTGAGGAGAGGTGGACCTAAAAAACACTACCGTCTGTACACAGCACATAGCATGTTTAAAAAAGTACTATCATAGTATGTCATTAAACATGTTAAAATAATGTCATAGTATAGTATGTAATAAAAATATATATAGTATGTCATAAAAACTGTAATAATATGCCATGAAAATAAAATGTAGTATGTTCATATAACATAAAATGTATATAGTATTTCATAAAACAAATCATAAAAAATGTCACGGGGTGTGGTGGAGGACTCAAGTGCAGACAAGACCAGAAGTAGAGTAAAGCATGTATTTAATGAAAGATGAGATACGAACAAATATGAATACCTTTGTTAAGCCAGACAGTCAGCACACGATTAAACAAGGCCCAAAAAGCTCCCATCGCTTCAGTCACCAACAGAAAATGTTGCCTGTGCCACATGGCAGGTTAAATAACCCCATTGGGCAGGTGTAACAGCTGTTGCTGATCAGCTCTTAGAGACAGTGCCAGACCTTTCCTGTGAAAAATGTTATACAATCTATCAGATGATAAAACTCTGAAAATGTTGTATTTATGAATTTTATGACTGGTTTTTGATGTATGTTAAGCGCAATCATCATTTTAAATACATTCTCACATTAACAATAACATTTTCTACAAAAGGAAACGTCCGGCGAAAACAATTTATTCTGATTTACAGTTCTTCAAATCTTTCATTTTTACTCTACTACACGTATTCAACTGCAATAGTTAGTAGTTACCTTTCTGTCACATTAAAAAAGACTGTCTACTTCCATCAGCCACTAGAATAGTCATTGGAATGTATCCTCTGTGGACATTGGATATGTGTGGCTAATTCCATAGCAATCCACCTGATAGTTGAGAGCCACAATGCTGCTATAGATATAAGATATAGGCTTAAGATATATGTGTTATCATCTTATGAAATATGATATATTGTCATAGATATTATAACCCTGCACACCCATGGAGGTGTTTGCAGTTATTGTGGCTGATTAGATCTACTCATGTCGAAGGAGCACAAAGCTATTCTGGGATTTATGTGAGGTCACCAACCTCCATGTACAAGCTTTAGGGCTTTCTTTCTGTTTGTGCTGAAAAGAAGACTTTACTTCACATTAAAGGGTAGTACTCCCAAAGAACTGTAAATACATGGAAAATATGTGGAGTTCCCCTTTAAGTCCAAAATATCTGTTGTCAGTTTCCATCTAAAACACAGACATAAAAAATAACTTCCTTGGCAGGTTTTAACAGAATTCAATCTCAGCACAGTTGCTTTATTTTTATTTAACATAAAAAAGCCAACTGTGACATTTGCAAGGAAATGTGGTTTCTCCACTCTGTGAGTGCGTGTGTCCTTATCAATATATTCCATAGCTGTGCTTCTTTCCATCTCTGTATCTGTCCAGGTAGCGTAGGGGCTGTCGATGAGGGTATTTGACCTGTGGAGGGTGGTACACTGGAGTCCGGATGAACTCAATCACTGGCTCCCTCATGTCTACAGGGAGAAGGTACAGCAGAGAGGCTTCATGGTTAGCGCACACACAACGTCGCTGTCCTAAAGTCTCAGAAAGAAAATGAAAATGTCACAAGACCAAAGTTGTGCTTTGTCTGTGAACATTAGCGTGACTCACTGAGTGTGGTGTGAAATGTTTCGGTGATAGATTCGTCCCACTGGCACTGGAAGAAGGACAAGCCTACAGGTGTCATGTTGTCCTGGTGCTTTCTGTAGAAATCCATCGTCTTAAATGAGCGATCCACCAGAGAATGGCTACTGGGGGGAGAGCAACACATGCTTAGTGTCTAAGATGCTATACAAAAACATGTGCTAACACGCCTTAATGGTATGCTTGTGAATACAGTTTATGGTCTGATGTCATGGCTGCTGAGAATAGGACACTCTTATGCTGAAACCGCCGGTTAAATTACATGAAAAAAAAATCGTTATTCAGGAAAGTTTTCGATTTATAGCTTCATGCCTGTAAATCTGTCACTTCCCGTGGGGAATCATTGGTTTTGGCGATTGTGGCCAATAACATAAACATGATTCATAACAGAAGATTCTATTTGAGCATCACAAGAACAAACCAGAAAAGTGTATTAATGCAAAACTTCACCCACAAAATAATCATTTGTGTATCAACTACTTAACCCGAAGAAAACTTTTGTTTTTCATGCAGTGAAGGTTCTTGATGAATTGAAGTAAATGAGAGCCGTGTATAATAAACAGCAGAACTATATGTATAATGTGTATATATTTGTATGTGTGTGCATATATATATATATATATATATATATATATATATATATATATATATATCTATATATATATACACATACACACACACATACATATACTGTATATACAAGACTGTTTGGACGCCGTCTCAGTCTGTGTTTAACCAGAGTATTGGGAAAGGTCATGCCAATAACCCTGTGACTGTTATTGATGAATAGTTTGGTGATGAGGTGATGCTGTTTATTGAGAAAAACGACACGTGCAGACATAGATATTCTCCCTACATTACTTGCTTGTTTGAGCCAGGAGGATACTCTGTCACTATCTCTCCCTGTTTTTTCAGCAGAATCAAACCCGTTGGAATTGTGCGATCCCTATGATATCGGTATCGATCTCTGTAAGTCATCGCTACTAGAGCAGGCAAGTCATCAGGGAACATCTGTACAAAGAATCCCAATCAGAACCGTTTATTGCCAAGTATGTTACACAGGAATTTGACTGGCATGAGGTAAATTGATGTCAACTGTAATTTATGTTTGTCATAAATTATTTAATGACATGTTTAAACCTGCCTGTAAAAGCAACTTTTGCACAGTTGACAAAAAAAAGATTTAAAAAAAGTCGTAGTATAGCATATTAAAAAATGTAAGCGTGTTGAAAAAAGTCATAAAAAAGCCATTATGTTAAAAAAGTCCTATAGTTTATCGAGTATATAAAAGTCATAGTATAGACTTTTTGAAAAAAAAGTTATTTAAAAGTCCTAGTTTAGGATGTCAAAATATAGTATAGTAAATAAAAAACAAAAAATATCCTGAAAAGTAACAGTAACATATAGTGCAATATGTTGACAAAAGTCATAAAAAAGTTATAGTACAGTAGGTTGAAAAAAGCTAAAGTATATTATGTTGAAAAAATCATAAAAATGGCACAGTATCTGAAAAGACTGCTGCTACAGAATATTTTGGGTAATTTAGTTTCACCCTCCAGCAGTTAGAAGACATGACATGTTTGGATCCACAGGCAGGATCCACCCAGACCCCCTACAGAGGTCAGGGCCCAGAGTATCCCCAAATGCTGGAAATGCCTACGAATATTATCCATCAACACTATTCAAACCTGCAGCAATGCAAATTTGCGACAGTTGCAAACCTTTTTCAATGAAAGGATGGAATAGATTTGCTCAGTCAGTGGACCACCGGGTCACCCAGAGCAGATTCTGCCAGTCTGTCTAAGCTACTGTAAGATATTTAATGGAGTTTCCTTTTAGCCAAATACTTTGAGTAAGTTCCCTCTGGTAAAAGTAACTCTGTGAATATCTTTAGGGCTTTTATTGTGAAAGGTAAGAATGCAATGAGTGGATCTGGTGTGCTTTGTCAATGTTAAAAAGAACACTGGAGTGTATGTTTTGAATGTGTCCGTTTCACACAACTTCATTGGTTGATGCCTTTATTTGGATTGCAAAAGCTCAAAAAAATCGACCTTGTTTCGATCCCTTCTTCACTAATTAATCACGTTCTGTGTAAAAAAACCTTTGACAAAAAAAACGTTAAACAAAAAAAATACATTAAACGCACAAATGAAACGCCCCTGGTGTGTAACGGTCTTAACAGTCTCTCTGTGTTTTGCAGCCTTAAATCTTCATCACCTTAAAATGAGGCATTAAGCATTTTCTTCATCAAACAACATGATTGTGTAAAAAAAACAAAAAAACTTTCCCTACCATTCAAGCAGACTGAACCAGCATGATGTGTGCTTTTAATCCCCCTCACCAAATAAATAAAGTGCTTCTGTCAAAAGAAGAAGACAAGCACAGCTTGGTTGAAATTTGAACAACACATACACTTTTTCCAAGAAAAATACCTTTTTATTTCATTATAAATCCACATAAGTGTATCTATGAAAGCATAAAATCCCCATTTTGCATGTTGTTGTGTTTTTTTCTCCTTATTGTGGTCATTTGTTTCATAATATTCAAAGTAAATCATGGGTATCAAACCATCGAAGACTGTAAGGTGTATGTCACATACAAACACAGACACTGGCAAACGGCAAAGGGGGAGCAAAGGGGGGAGGGAGTGGACGGGACAGCGCAAGTTCTGCTGGCCATCTTTTAAAAACGCTTAATACATTTAACTCGAGCGCCAGCTTTCAGTGATAGGAGGTTCACCAGTGTTTCTTACAGGTACAGTTGCTTTCCAGTGTCAAACTGAAAATCAGGATTCACCATTAAATGTAGAGGCCTGGACGTCAGTGCTTTAAGTTTGGCTGTGAATAAATCCTCGCAGGAGTTCCTCAAGGCTCCGGTCTCAGGTTTTCTTTTTTAATACTCCAACACAGAGAGAACCAATCCACCATGGATGCAAACACACTGATTATTTCAACATTATCTAAGTCATTCGCAGCCAGAAGAGTTCGATTGGTAATACTGGAGAGTATACTATTCAGTTGTTCATGAAAATAAGAGAGAGAGAGAGAGAGAGAGAAGGTGAAGACATACAATTAAAGTGCCAGAGAAGTTCACCGTTTAATTTGACAGTTGGTTGTTATTGATGCTTTGAGACAAGACGTTTGACGATGTGCTCGTATTTTCAATCCAAGGCCCAACATGGATTTTCTCTTTGACTGCCAAGAGATAATAGAGAGGTGTGCTTTTGGAAGTCTGTATATTCTCCCGGTTTTGTTATAATGCTGTCATAATACTGTAGTAATCCTTTGGCATATGACTGTATGCTGGGGAAAAGAGAGGAGCAGTGCCACCAAACCATCGACAAACCACAATCGAGGAGATCCTGGAAAAAATGTCATAAAAGGGGTTTTCTGTAATCCAGTAATCCATTCAGTGTATTCTCAGAGCAGCATTGAGTGTTGGCATGGATTCTAACTGTCAAATGCAGACGCCAAAAAATCCACGCGACACCCTTAAGAGCCCTGTCAGATCATCGGATACTTCCTTCAAAAAAGAAGAAGAGATCCCCGACCATGTTCACTCCCGACTCCTCCGATCCAAGGTTTCAAGCTCCAGTTAAGCACCGATCATAAGCAGGGTTCAAAGCCCAGAGCCAGACCTGTATCCCACGGGGAGCAGACCTTTCTTCTGCCAACAGGAAGGCTGTTTCTCCTCCTCTGGATGCCCGCTGGATCTTCGTATCACATCACATCTGGTTCTGAGGTGGTGTCAGGGGTTGGGCATGTGTGTCTGGGTGGAATACCTGAACATCGGGGCTCATTAGAAGGATGTGACCATGCAACCCACAGGGGCACCTGTAGGAGACGAGAGAGGGAGACAGGTACAGATCGATCGAGTGATTGATTGATGACTGTGAGTAAAGGTGCATAAAGTGGGATTTTAGCGGTTTGTGGACTCATGTTGACTTTATGGCAGTAGTGGAGGAAGTATTCTGATTCATCGCAAAAAGAAAAAACTAAAATGATCCTGCATTCAAAATATTACTTGAGCAAAAGTATGGTAGATTATAAACAACATTTAATTGGTAAAAGTGATCTAATATAAGGAAATGGCTCTCTTGAGCGTCATTATATATCTTATTATTATATAATTATTGAAGCATTAACATCCAACTTGAGCTACTATTTTGCATACTGTTGGGCATGGATTCTGAGACGATGACACTTTGGGACCCGGGGCTTATGCCCCTCAGGCCCGTTCAGTATGCATGCTGTTGGGTATAGACAGTGCATCATATTCTATAAACAGGCAGGTTTGGGAAATCTTAATCTCAATTGGTTACATTTCACTTCTGTTTTCTGCTGTTGCTTTTCGCATTAACAGAACACATGTTAGTCTCATGACTGGAATTCACTTTGGGAGGGCGTGGGGTGGGGGGGTGGTGGAAGTGAACTTGCTTTTCCTCAGCTGTGCATGTTCCTTTAGTATTGGCTTGTTGTTTTTGAACCTACGCACCTGAGACATCCTTTGAAAGAAGAGTGCAGATATCCTCTCCCACCTTGTCCAGACTCACATAAACCCCCTGCAGTATCTGCACTGGTCTATAAAGTTGTTTTTCAGCAATGATGACTCAGTGACTGCTCGGCCAACTGCTGAGATTTCAGGCTTTAAAAGCCATTTCCTGCCTACACGTTGCTTTGAAAACTACCCCCTTCACACCCACAAACCCTTTTGTACTTGTGCTTGAAACGCAAACAAACGGAATCCCATAACTTTTTTTTGTCTGTTTAATAAAGCAGATGGTAAAGCTGTGCTGTGGTGCATGGTGAGATACTACTAATAAACGAAAGGGCAGGAAAGTGAGGTACAACTCTAGTTTTGCCAGCAGGGGGCCCTCAAAGTTCAGTGAATGCAAATGACAGTCAACTAATGGTAGGGAGGAGAACCATAGAAAATCCTTTTATATTACAAGTTCTCCTGGAAAAAGGGAAGTGCTTTAAAATGAACTCTCCATGTCAATAATTGGCCGACAGTTGGTTTCCCACTGTGCAACTAGTGTATGAAATTGACAAGTGAGGATTGTGCATAATGGAGCCTTGATTATGGAGCCCGAGTAATTATAGACTTTAAGTACATCATTATAACTAATTCATAAATTGATATATTTTAAAAAGCTGCAGGGCAGCAGCAAGAGCTCTGAGTGGTCAGCTGCCAGTCTGGCCAATCAGAGCTCATTATGTCTTTAAATCAAAGAGAACATGAAAGTAAGACTCTAATCTTTTACAAAGGAAATAAATGATAAGTGAAATATATATGAAATATATATGCAATAATGAATCATTTAAAGATAGAATGAGGAAATTATTAATTGGCAAATGTAACAATATCATTTGTACTTGATATTGAGTTT